GTCCGCTATATAGCGCTCCTCGGGTCGGAGGGGGGACATGAAGAAGAAAAAAAAAGGACGAGAAAAGGGTGAGGGGAGAAAGGGCGAGGCAGAAGGGGTGGTGGTAGGCCGTAGGAGACGAAAGAAGAGCGCCGACCAGCAGGCGACCTTGTCAACATTTGAACTTTGGAATGCCACGCGTGTCTAAACGTACTCGACCACACAGGCACGCAAATGGCATGCACACACGCACGCACGCACGCACGGGTGCGCGCGCACACACACACACAGACACACACTCACACTCATTATGTAAATGCGCGCTCCACCGTGCCCCAGCCAAGGTCGCTCGCTCGCTCGCGGCGGCGGGACGGAAATGCTGCAACAGCTAGAGACAAGTCCGTCGCCAGGTGCCAAGTTCTGCCGATGTTTGCACAACTGAATTTTCACCAGTTAAGCTCAAGCCCGCTATGCGAGTGTTGTGTGTGTGTGTTTAGCGCGACGTCGTGTCGTGTATGTTAAGCGAAAGTAAGAGAAGCAGTCTCAATTACAACAGTACTCGCGGAAAATATTTCTTGATCATAATATGGCGACAGTATACTGTTACCTGCACTTCCGGTGAAACGTACGAACTACAACAAACGATCAATTCCCACGTCGAGCCTGGAGGAAGCTGGAGGCAGGCGACCCTAATCACGCCAATGGACCAGTAATAGTCGCGGGGAGTGCACGTTGCGAGAGCCTGCCGAGGCGCCGAGGCGTAGCGGTTAGTCAAGCTGCCGCCAACAAATGGCAAGGCAGGCCAGGAGGACATCGAGGGGTGGTGTGCTGCTACCCCCTCACCACCCACCCCTCCCCCCTCGCTAGCGAGCGCCTATCCCTTCGTTATCTCTGGGCACCTGCCACGGAGAGAGGTGGGGGGGGGGGAGGAGGATATCTCGACTGCACTTCCTAACTGGGTTTCCTATCGTGCTGGGCTGCCGTTAGGTCCACGACCTTTGCCCCCCCCCCTCCCCTCCCTGCTCTGTTTCCTTCGGCTTAGCCAAACACACTTCTACACAAGTCCCCCTGCCCCGAGTCAATTAGGGGCAAGCTTCTTCAAGTCTAACCAAACGACGTGGAAGTCGAGCCAGCGGCATCCCATGGGGAGGATGCACTGTAAAAAGTTAAAGAGGGCTTCTTATTTGCTGAACAGCATTGTGATGTTTAAGTAAAAACTACTTTACCATACGACAGTAAATAACTCGACGAAAACAAATTTGTTAACCTGACCCTACATCGGAGCACTCGACTTGACAATTATTTTTTGCAGTAAAAGGGACGGGGCTAGAGAGAGACACACATACGTGCGTCATACCACTGTGCTGCCGAGCAGTTCGACCCCCTTAGCCCACTTGCAAGCCATCAGACTCTGCTCCGCTCCCCGCGCCAAGCAGCCCTTCCTCCCCATGTTTCCAAGCCGCCACCCCGTCTTCAGAGATGTTTGCTTTCCCGGGAACTGGCTCCTGCTCGTCAGGCGGACTGGCTGGCTGGGTTCGCCGTGCGCCCCCCGGCCGCGGCCTGCACACCCACCCCACCCCTTGGCTCCGTCCTTGGCCACGCCCTTAGCCACACGGCCTTGGCTACGCCCTGGCTCCAGCCACCCTTTTGGCTAACCGCTACGAAACGTCGTGTTGGCTACGCCACTGCCTCCCCGGTGCGTTAGCGTTGGGTATCACCCAGCAAAGTAACGTCCGTAATTCGCTGTCGCGAAGCAGCCAAGAGTTCAGCAGGCCCAGCAAGCTCTCGTAGCGCCTGGTAGGTGGGCAACATCTCGTATGCAGTGCACGCGTGTACTGCAGGATGGCCTACCTCGAGTCTCGCAGGCGGCGAGCGCCGAGTTCCCGTAATTTGCGCTACGCCCCTAGATACAATACTGGCTACGCCCCTGGCTTTGCTACTCACTACGCCCCCGGACACGCCCTTCTGCGCGCGCCAGGACCCGTAGCTACGCCCGGGTACGCCCGGGTACGCCCAGCTACGCCCGGCTACGCCCCTGCTCCCCCGCCGCACAGTTGGTCAGCGCAAAGTTCTCCCCAGTGTACTCCGGTTATAATGAGAGCATTACACCGCGAGAGCAGAAGCCATCCCGGCGGGGCGGGTGGCGCGCGGGGCGGAGCGAGGGAGTTCAGTTATTATATGAGTAAAGTTTGTAGGTATGAGGGCGAGGCTGTGGGGGTGGGGGGTGGAGGGAGGCGACGAGTCGAGAGTGACGGCGGAGTGAGATCGCGATGGAGGCGGCGGTTCACACCTTGCTCTGCCTTGCCCGCACAAACTTAACGCGGCGCGACAACTCCAACGCAGAATTCCGTTATCCCTCTTCCAATATCCTCCCCCCCCCCCTTCGATATCTCGATATCTTTTACTAGCCAGCGTTTGATGTAGTTCCGTGACTAGACTAACTTCGCGTACTGCTGCTCGGCCTGGGCGGACGTCATCATTCTGTGTAAGAAAGTAAAGGGGATAGTGACGGGTGGGAGGGGGCGCGGTGGTAAAAGTTAGGGGATAGGGAGGAGGGGAGAAGGGTGAGAAGGTCCTCGCACGTAGCCCGGCCCCGCCCGGCCCCGCCAGGCCCAGCTAGCACTACTGGGACACCCCATGTAATCTGAGGAGTGCACCAAGCACAGGGGACGCCCTCGGGGTCGCGGCCCGGCGCCGAGATGAGGGAGGGACTCGGAGCGGGAGGGGACAGCACGGGGAGACCAGGTGTGGGCTAAAGCAGGAATCGACAGCAGCACAAGGGAACCGGAGGGGGTGGGCCTGTCGTAACACCATGGGCGTAGCCATGACAGAACAAACTTTCAGTCGATAGATGGGTAGATAGATAGATAGATAGATAGATAGATAGATAGATAGATAGAT